AGAGACAAGCATCGAATAATTTACACATCGAATATCTATTGGAAGACGCTTCGTTTCTCCCGAAACTTCACTCTCTTTTCACACATCGACACGAAGAATATCCATCGATCGAAATTATTATCGATTTATCGATTATCCTCTATCTCAAGAGTTAAATTATTCTTTTTTTTTTTTTTCTTTTTTTTTCCTTTTTTAATATCTTATTACGTCTGCTGCTACACTTTTGCACCCGCTATTATAAATACAAGAGTTACACAGTCACCTTATCCATATTAACCACACGTTTAAGACACGTTTCGCTACGATCTTTCTTCTTCCTCGAATAACACTACTACTAAAATCGTAGTAAAATCCTTTCTCCTTTCCTCTTTTCGTTTCGGTTCGAGAGCATGATATATATATATATATGCCCGCAAATTTTCCTCCCCCTTTTTTCTTTAAGGACGGCCCTTTAAGCTCCCCTATCATTACTCATGGTTGAAGGATATCGTTAGTTAGATCCCAATCGATAATCCTATGAAAATATCCACCAGACATTGCTCGTACGATATAACTCGAATGCGATTAACTAACACTCATCATCCTCGCGATTATACACTTATATCCAATAAATGCTAAACGATATGACTTGCAACATCGAGAAACTTGTTTCGACAAGTTTGTTCATCCGAGAAGGGATCCTTATTCGTCCCTCGAGTTGTCCCTTTCTTTTTTTCTTTTTGTTTTTGCAGGATGACGATAATAATAATAATAATAATAATAATAATAATAATCGAATCGTTTCACACGTAACGACACGGTGGCAAACAAACTCGAGAGGCAAAATCAAGGGATCATCCGAAGAGGTGTATATATATATATGTATATATACGACATTCTTGCCGAATGAGCGACAATTTTACACTGGTCGTTAGTGAATGCCTAGTAATGATTCAGCAGCGAGGCCAAATAACGATGACGTTAGGAGCGAGAGGTCCGCGTTCTTACCATGGCACCAGGTTTCCCGGCATCCCCGGGTTTTCCGGACTCTCCTCTCAGTCCCATGGGGCCCTGCAAAGAAACAGATCGATGCTGTCGATCAGTGATTCGATTGGGGGCGAGGGGATGGGTCGCTCGAAATCCTTCGAAACTCGATCGACTCTTTCGAATTTGAAATTAGCGAAATTTAAGTGGGAATGGAAACTTGAAAATCGATGGATATATAAATTTTTCGTGAAATTTATATATGTAACTTTAGTTCATGATGATAATATTTGATTATTTTGTATTTTGTATATTTAAAAGTACAAAGTTTTGTGATACAGGATTCATCTTTCTTGGGAGATTAAAGAATACTTTTTACTGAAAAATTGTATTAGGTATGTTTATAAGTTTTGTTTCTTTCATTACTATTTAAAGATTCGATCGACTTTGACACTAATCCTTGATACTGATTTCGATTAAACTTGATTTCATCGTTATTTGAATCTTCTTACTGTTGTAGTCACTTTCAGACTTTTGAAATCCAAAAAATAACTTGTATAAATAAATTACGAAAAGATTATTATAATGTAAAAAAAAAAAAAAAAAGGAAAAAGGAAAAAATAATTTCAAACATCGAGAATTTCGAGTTTCGATAATTTCGAAAGTTTTGAGACCGTAGAAAATTTCACGAATCTAAAAATCAGGTTTCGACCCATCTCTGATTAAACGTAATGAACGAATTTTTATATTGGTTGATTATTTCAGCGTGCCATTTTTTTTTTTTTGTTTTTTAGCTGTTCGTGGCATACATATTACTTATCGTGTAATTGTTTCGTTTGTGTGTTTTCTTGTTCCTCTGTAATTTTTATTCTAGCAACATGATCGATTTATTATAATTTTTATCAGAAATCGAATTTGTAGAATTTTTTTATAATACAGTAGACAGTTCGGAAAGTTCATAGAATTTTTTTTACAATAAGTTTAATAAATACATTTTCTTTCTTATTTAAAAAAGAGAAGATATCTCGTTTATGTATCCTTCAAGATAAATTATTTTTCTAATCATAAAATAATTACTTCGTTATGTATGAAATTTAAAATTTTATTATTATTGTTTCAAGTGTAAAATTGAAAATTAATATTTAAAGAAAATATGAATAAAAAAAAAAAATAAATAAAAAGTATATATCTTGTTATTTCAACGAGATAACATAAAATAATATCATACTTTACTTATTTACTTGTTTCAAGCAGCATTGTTAAAAGAATACAAGAAAGAAATGGCAAAGAAATTACTGCAAAGAAAAAAATGATCGTTAATTTCCGCTACGAACTTCTCGAACTATATTTCACTTTTCAAACTGACACTTTTCTTCGATACCTTTTCTAACACCTTAGGGATAAATAAATTTCGAGGATGGTTCCATATGCATTTAACTCTATTCCTGGTATTTTATCGCGTTTTACAACCTACCTAACCTACAAACCTAATCTTGAGAGGAAAATACGTACGGGTAGTCCCATTGGACCAGGATCTCCTTTCGCACCCTTCTCTCCCTGTAATGTAAAAAAAAAAGAAAAACGATCAAATGAGAATATTCCTATTCCACTTTATATATAACACGTTTCGTTTCCTCGCCCTCGTCGATGTCGTATGATATAACGTAACGTTTATATCTCAACTACAATGTGTGAAAGTATATATATAGAAGAAACAGATAATGTCAATTTACTAAACTTAACAAACTTTTTTTTCTTCCTTCTAAATTAAAATCTGTGACGTTCCATTCTAGCATTTTCTTTCTTTTTTATTTTCCAAAATATTTATCAAGATTTTTCACTTTCAGCAAGTAGAGTGAGAAACAATTCTATCGTAACTTTTTAGTTGAAGTATATCTTGATTATGCCAGATGGATTATTTTAATTTTAAAAAGGACGGCGTGACGTATCGTTAAAATTATACAAAATCATTGATATGGCGTTGATATAACGCGTTGATGCGTATTCTACAGATTGCAATTATAGAATGATTTTTTTGTTTAATATTACTGACAGGATCGCCTTTGGCACCATCGTGTCCTCGGTCGCCTTTTATGCCAGGTGGACCTTGGAGGCCAGGAGTACCAGCTGGGCCTGGTGGTCCCGGTGGTCCCATTATCTGCAACCAGAGTTCGTCTCGTTATTTCAAATTTTATTTAAAATAATTTAAAACAGTGGTTCTAAATCCATAATATTTTCACTTTTTTCACAATTCTTCGCTTTGGTTTATTCAAAGGATGCAAAAAAAAAATTTTTTCAAAAATTTTCGTATTCAAAGACTTCGTCGTTAAATTATTCCATGTTGATGTTGATTTTTACATTAAAAAGGAATCGTAGGTTACTTGAATATTACAAAAGGGAATCACAATTCGAAGAAAGAAGAAAAAAATTGGAAAACAATATTATTAATATTTATTAATTACCAATAAGACACTTTTCTTTTGAAAATTTTTCTCATCTTCTAATGAAAAAAGGAAAAGAACACAAGTTTATCAATTATTTCTCGAGAGTCCTCTTTTAAACTTTTCTTCAAACTTTTATTTGCATCTATAAAAATCTTGTTAAATTATTTCACGTTGCCAATTTCCACAATTTATAACTTTTATTTATCGTAAGAATTACTCGCAAGAAGAGAAATAAAATTGGGGGACACTGCGTTTTATTAATCAAACGATAAGACCCGAACGGAATACGAAAAGTTCAAACGTTACTCACCACTTCACCAGCGTTTACTTCAAACGTGCCGTCTCCCTGCAATAAAACGAGCGCAACGTTACTACGCGAACGGTGTGAATATTCTCTCACGATAATAAAATCTCGACAAGATTCGTCGATTCCCAACAATGTTACGTTATTATTAGAAATGTGAGATGGTGGACGTACCTGCCTTCTCCTAAGTTTCTTGTATTTCTGTCGAACGGCCACAGTGCGAATTGTGCGTGTCGTGTCATGAAAAGAAATAGATTTTTATCGTTGAAATTTCGTCGGTTCAACCATGCTCGTTAAAACGCCGTTTATTATGCTCCCGAGCCTTCGATTTCGAGGCAATTGACGATACATATGTATATATACATATACACACACTTGTCACACACGTCGAAATCAAAGGCCCGGAATTACTCGCAGCGAAAATTGATGGATATTCAACGACTCTCGGGTTCGACGAACGGTATTCTATGGGAGGGGTCAATTATATCTCTCATCTTTGCCCGTTCAATTGGGATTTAAAATGAAAAGATTTCGATACGAGAGAGAGAGGGTTTTTTTCTTTCTTTTTTTTTGATCGTCCATCTGCTGCGCGTTTAAGTATTATCGAGAGATCGACTCACCGATTCACCTTTCTCCCCTTTTTCACCTTTCAACCCTGGATAACCCTGTTTAGAACAACATGGTGGCGTTAAATCTTTGTTCGAATACGTATTATTTCGTAGTTTTCTTTTTTTTTTTATGCCAAGAAAGCTCTGCCTGTCGAAAGAAACGGAAGATCGTTCTTTCTTTGTCTAACAAGGATATTATAAATATGGGTTTAAAAATAAAAGTCACGAGTTAAAGGAAAAAATTCGATTATTTCAAGATCAATTTATCCAATTTTTAGCCAATATCCATCATATATCTTCTAATTTTTCAAGTCACGAGAATTATTTATAGAGCAGCATTGCACGAATAATTTATTTCATCGTATATTTTTCCACGATAAAAGGCAGAATTTTCTTGGTTACCTGATATAATTGAATAAATATTGTAACAAGTCGAGTGGTTTACATACCGGTGGACCAGGCAAACCTGGTGGCCCCATAAGTCCTGGAGGTCCGATATCTCCGTAGTCACCTTTTTCACCTTTGGGCCCAGAAATTCCCTGTACAAATATTTAATATTGGCAATAAATGTGTGTATATACATCAAATTTTATTCCTTGAGAACCCATATAATGTACTCGAAAATAAAATTTCGTCAAAAATTCGATAATAATTCCTGTGATATTTAACCAGAATGTTATCACAACATTGTTAAAACCTCGTAAGATCTCGTATATGTGAAGAACAAATATAAAGTTTTGCAGTATAAAAAACAATTCCTTCAAACAATGTGCATACGATGAAAATTATCAACGTTTCTATTAATACGTTTTTGTGTAGATCGACAAAGAAATCAGATTAATTTAATTGATTACATTTTCACACGCGTGATTTACTTACTGGCAATCCTGGAGGACCCTGTATACCAGTCTCCCCATCCGTTCCATTGAGCCCAGGTAAACCAGGATGTCCTTGCTCTCCCTTTGGTCCTGAAATTACGAAGTTCTTTACTAGTACGATTAAATAATACGATTGTTCTCGATCCTTCGTATCCTTCGCGATAATCCATCCCCTACAGATGAAATACTCGATTATTAATTTCATTCTCTCTCTCTCTCTCTGGCTACATCATCGCAACACTCTCTTCATTTTCGAATTCATTCGAATCACCATTAATGGGAGCAAATGATATATATATATATATATATATATATCGAGATTCCACGAGGTAATAATGAATAATAAGACACTGGAGATGAGTGATCTCTCTCTCTCAAATTTTCAAGATCGGACAAGAAACGATAAAAGAGAGAAACGTCAATCGAGGGGAAAGATTTCAATCGAGGATGGTTTGAAAATTTTTTGAAAAGAGACTATATATATATATATATATCGAAAGTGTACGAAAAGACAGAACAGGCTTTTCTTGTTCGTCCATTCACTCCATCGTGATATCCAGACGAGATGTAGGAGAATACGATATATCGATCGTGTCGAGTTTTAAAGAATAGTTTTTAAAGAATAGTCACATCCTATGACGAACACGACTATATAGACGATCCACAAGATCGGGAGAGATGCGAGGGGAAGAAAACCCTTTTATTTGGTTGTAGCAGGATTTATATATATATATCGTTCATATTGTCATCCATCTTTTTCTTCAATTTCGCAGAGGAATGGCTCTTGAAAAATCTACCTGGTGAGCCCGTGTCTCCCTTGGTTCCTTTATCGCCTCGGTAACCCCGTTCCCCGGGATCACCCTTTGGACCCGGTAGACCGGGTGGGCCTCTCATCAATGCCACACCGCTCTCACCCTTGAAACCCTATAATGTAACACTGTAAGGTCAGGTCCAACCAGGTCCTCCATCTTTAAACTATTCTTTTTTTTTTTTTTTTTTTCGAAAATTCTTTTTCTCTTACGACGAAGCGTTAATCGGTGTCATTTTTAGGTTAGGATGGGCACAGAGGGAGAGGAGATTCGGTTTTATTATCATGGAAGTTATCTATTTCGGTGGTCGATTTTGGCATCAGTTTTTTTTTTTTTCTGATCGATTTTCTTTTCTTTCTTGGCTGCGATTGTTTTTTTTTTTTTTT